TTCGATCTGAAAATGCTTTTCCACGACTTTTGCAAGTCTCGTTTGAAGATGGTTTCCAATTGCAATAATATTTGCCATGACGATATTTCTGCCATTCTGAATGAGGAGGCAACTCTGCCTCGTCAAATCTCAATGGTTCTCCTCGTGACGTTAGTGACCGGGTTGCTGCCGCGTTCGAAGACTCGGCTTCTGGCATTTCATCCGGGAGCGTGTAGCTTAGATTATGGGGGAAAGAATTAAGGTTGTACATATGACTACTATCAGGCAAGGGACCGAGAGCTGGATCGGGGAATGTTGCACCGTCTGAAAGCTCATAATTCGCGAACTAATGCTCTTGAATCTGGTTCTCCTGCATGATAGTAGGTAGGATGTTAGGATTGCCTGCGGAATTTCCTCCTTCCAAATATATAGAATTGTTCCCGGGGTCCGAGGGCAGGTTCCCGAATGAACCTGACAATTCTAAATATGTATATGACCCCGAGTCATAATCAACATGCTCAGTTGCTGGATTGAAATCATTTGGTGACTGATTCCAATTGGTTTGGTCACTTTCTTCATCTGCCATTTGACGTACGTATTCTTCCAGTGTCTGGCTATCCAACCCACTTAGAACACTTTCTAGAGAAATACCTACAGTCATTAGTTGTGATCACCTGAGAAACGCCATCACTTACAGAGTTCGATTGCAGGAATTTCGGCAGAATGAGATTCGTCAATATCTAGTGTTTGTGGGGTTTGTAGATTGAGGAACCCTTCAAATGCCGAGAGTTGCCAAATCTGTGACATGTGTATCAGATTATACCGGCTCATGAGTTCAGAAGAGCGATCAAAAGGCTCAGAGAAAATCTGAGATGAAAGAAGTCAAGACATAATTTTTTGCCTAGTGCATTGCAGAGTGTAGCAAGAATTAAATTGATTTATGGCAAAGATCTCTTGATTTAACTACAGAGAGCAAAATCTGGTTTCATCAGTTGGGCCACCTAGCCTTTAAATATTAAATCTTGTTTCAATTCTTTCAGATGATAGTCTCGGGAGTTTCGCAAGAATCAATCTCCTAAATTTCATTGCTATACACTTGTTAGAAGTTTGAGTCGAAGTTAGCCTGTCTGCAAGAGGCCCATGAGTGAGGTGCCCAAGCACGAGGCCTACCACTAAATACGGAATGAACACGCTGCATCATTTTCACCGAGATCTGAGAGGAAATCATTGGCTACGGCTGCGTACTGTAGTGGCTGTAGACTGCACAGTTTGTTGGCTCTGCAGCGATAAGCTTGGATTGGCGCAAAAGGAGGCCCGCGAGAAATGCCCCCACCGTGGTAGAATTCTTATCGATGTCGATGGACTCAAATCGAATATGTCTTCATGCCCAATTTTCAATATCGTATCTCTTGGTCGGACAGGTGGGAGGCCCTCGTGTTGATCTCTTAGTTCTATAGAATTAACATATCTTGTTTCAATCAGCGAATAGGTGGGCGGAGCATTCGCACAAGCAGATGCGAACAATAGCCGTCATACAACTCTATATAAATGGACCGCCCAAAATCTAGAAATTTCGAGTCTTCATAGTTCTTCAACACTCTAGTCCTTCATTTCGTGTTATTCAAATTCAAGATCGTCAATACATGATATTATGACTCGTAAGATATTACCCTCTAAAAGCACTTCCCATATTTATCAAATTGCCATGCTAACGTTCGCTGAAGTGGAAACTGTATCAGGTCAACCGGTAAACCTTACTCCGGGGTTAAAAAGGCAATTCTATCCCACTCTCCTTCTTCTCCGGGGCCTAGAAGTTATTACTACTCAGCAACATAAAAGAAGAAAGCATTTGGACTCTACTCCAGATTTGACACAAACTTTGGAAGATGAGTTTCAAAGTTTCGTGTGCAAATTGGCTTTTCTATGCTGCACAGAGCCTCAAAGTGGTAGTGTGTCAGCATGCACTGTACTTCAGCTGCCTGATAAAATCCAGTACATCTTTGCTTCTAATGATAGAAAGCCACGACAGCTCGAAGTTGTGAGATGTGGCGTCTCTGCAATTCTCAACATGTTGCGGGGTGATATCCCTTCTTCATTACAAGATCGAGCTATCCTACACCGTCGACTTCTTCAGGCAATCCTGAAACTCAGTCATCTCAAGCTTAGAAGTTATCTAAGAGGGCTAATCGAACAATTGAAGAGTTGTCTTGAAGCATGCAAAAGGGAGTCAATGACAGAAGGTTTGACAAGATTTCACACAGTTGATTACTTGGCTAATGATAGAAAGGTGATACATTGACTTCATTTCTCCGACATCTCTTAGCCTCTGCAACTTCGACTTTGAGGCTCAATGAAGTTAGCAAGATCGAAGGTATGGGGCATATTAGAAGTTTGCTTATAAGGTCGCACTGACACCCCATGTAGTCAACTTTATTACAACGGAGGAGTTGATCATCTCAATAAATGGATATCTGCGATCTAATGTATACAAGACTATCAAGTCTCGGATTCTTCGAGAAGAAAAGCAACAAAGCTCTACTCGGTGGTACGAATTGAACCATATCCTCGGACGACTTAGTTCCTACAGACAGACTGTGGATGTTCTCTATAAGGCACGAGGAAATTGGCCGGAACTCTTCCATAAGTTTGAAGTTGATTTCACCCCGTCAAGTACCAAGATTTCAACACCGTGGCCTACCAATCCGTGGACCGTAAGTAAAATCCTCGGCCGATCAACTTCTGAAGCCAACCTTCTTGCCACATACAAAAATCAGGCCGAGATTCTTCAAAGCCGATTCGATCTTGATGAGATCATAGCCAAGCTATGGAGAGGAGAGTCTGTCGACGAGGCATTAGGATCGGAGTCTGATTCTGAGACTACTGATGAATCCAGAGAACAAAGCAAAGGATCTCCACCCAAGCTTATTGTTCATGCCGAAATACTTATTCATAATTGGTTAGAGAACACCACCGGGGGTACACGACCCGAGAGATTCTTTCAAGGGTACAAATTTATTGGCTCGAGCAAGCCAACATGTAAGCTTTGCTCTTATTTCTTCCAAGAGTACCCGACAGATGTCCAGGTGAGAGAATCTCATCGCAATATTTACGAAAAATGGCGGATGCCGGATATTTTTGTGCATCAAGGTAACGAAGCGGAAAAATTGAGGCAGCGAACCATGCTTAAAATCAAAGCACGCATGGTTCAAGACATAGCACGCGCGATGAGAGAAAGATTAGCGGATGGTACACCCCATGACTCAGATACATATTCTATGTTGGGACAGCAGCGAAATCCACAGAGCTTGGCAATAGGCAGTACCACCAGCTTGAACGACATAACGGAGAGGCTGGATACACTGAGGCTTGTAAGCGCCCAGAGAGGTATCTTCTTTGCAAAAGCTGAAGTGAAGGAACAAGGCTCGGACGATGAAGACCAGAATGACGGCGGAGCCTTGCTTTAGCCCGGTAGGCGCAGAATGTAGCCCAGAGCACTTGCGCATCCCAGTCCCTTTTCGCAGGCTATTTAAAATGTCACTATGACTAGTTATATGCAGTCGATCAAATATCATGTTCCTATCGATACATTGCTTCTGATCTCTGCATGAGATTTTCTACAACTTGACGTGTTCCAGTTGAGGATTCTCATGACGACGAAAAGCAGAGTAATAGCAATACAAGACGAATGCTGAGGAATGCCGACGTCAACATTTACAAGCTAGGAAGCTTATCTGTCTACTGCAGAATATCTTGCTAGCAGTGAGGAGCGACACCTCTATGAGTGCTACTACTCGGCCAACAGTATCGTGTGACCGAGTCCAGAGTTCTGAAAGCAGTGATATGCTGACACTTCCTAAAACTATTATGGCAATGGAGATTAGAATAAACAATAAACAGGAGGCGATTTACAGACAAAGTCCTTGGCAACTATACGATGCATCCGCAAGAGCAGCTGTTTATTTGGCTGATCAGCACCGAATCTCACCCAAAACATTGGAGAGCGTAGGCCAGCCGAACTGTAGCAGCCAAGCCCAGCATGTTCACACTACGCAGTCAATTAGGAGAACGAGACGGCGAAGGCGAGGGCGGCCTTGGTTTGGCGGTCCATTCGCTGTGGGCGGAAAAGTGCCCTGAGCCATGAAAACTCTACTCAGCGATGTGGATACTTAGCAGCATAAAGAACTGGTAATAGAGGGCTTTTACATCAGGAGGACATCCTTTTCTCCATTTAACCTGCAATGCTTGTGATGCCAGAGAAATCATATACAGCAAAAGAACATGGTAAAATAAGAATGTGGAGGATCTTAGTAGCCAGATACGAGGATTCATTGAAAATGTGTCCCTCAAGGCTGCGACCACCATCCTAAAGAGGCAAGTCTAGGAAACTCACGACAGGACATGATGGGCAAAATAAATATTAAAAATAAAATAAAAATACTCCCCTGCCTGGGCACGATCCAGGAACCTCCTGATTAACCTATATGGATATTAGAAATTTTATTTACAATAGAAACAGGGAGTACTCACAGTCAGACGCTCTAGCCAATTGAGCTACAGAGGATGGTTGCTTGGAGGTACGGACGGAAATTAATGGGCCTAATTGATCGGCTCCACAAGAGTAATCTGAACCAAAAAAAAAAAAAAGGATTAAAAAGATATGAGAGACTTGAATGATAAAATTAAAATTAAAATATAAAAATAAGGAAATAAAAATTAAAAAAAATCTCTCGTGCCTGGGCACTTTTCAGGAGCCTCCTGATGAGCCGGTATGGATGTTAGGACTAGATCTCATCACTCGTGGGTGGGAAGACTTGAAGTCAGACGCTCTGGCCAATTGACCTACAGAAGATGAACAACTGTTACAGTCCCTGCCTTTCGTGTTTGGACCCACTTGGCGGCTCAATCTCGGCAAAACGCAGCACCCTGTTCAACTATCCACTCAGATTGAGTACAATTGCAATGCAGATGAGATCTTGAACTCGACGACATCAGCTCCATCACACCAGAAGAACACCGCCAATATGGCTTCAAAGGCTGTGGCGAAAGCCGCAGGTGGTGCCATGAGCATTTCTAAGGTCAGTCAAATCACCTAGCGCCGATTTACCTTCAATCGCCGCCCCTGCCTCTCGCCAACACCACTTCAGGATCGACCCGATTCACATCGCAACACTCGGATCAAATGCTGACTGTCTATGTCACAGAAACAAACCCTCCAATCGGTTGGTATCTGGGAGCGTTTTAGACGCGCCTTCGCCATTGACCCAGAGCGCTCCAACGGCGTGCCGCTGAACCCATACTTTCGATACCCAAGCCCCGGCCAGCTCGACCCTCACAGCTACGACGACCCGGTCACGATCCCAGCGGGCGACATAGCGGACAACCCGTACTGGAAGCGCGATGCGCGCCGCAATTACCCTCGCCTCAGCGTCGTCAGCCAGGCCGACCAGGTCGCTCTATTGACGGTCGGCAATGCGGTGACCCCGAAGGTCGAGCTCATCGGCGAGGAGGGCAGCAAGGCTCTCGTTGCGGCAGCAGAGGAGGGCGAGCAGACGGGTCTCGCAGCGTTCATCGAGAAGAAGGGCGCAGACGTCGCCAAGGATGTATTGGTTGACGGTCTACCGCCTCTGCCGAGCGGGCAGAGCCTACTCACGGGCAAGTGGGATGTGCACAAATATGGTCTCTCGGAGCAGTCATATCCAGAGGAGTGAGTTTTCAACATGCACTGCGAATGAAGTTCATTGCGCTGACAATCTACAGGTACCCCTGCCGAACGTTCCAATGATGGATGGTTGTTTGAGATATGGAAGGCAGACATTGTACATATAAGCAAAGCCGGAGTATAGACTTGAACGCTAAATGCCTTGATTCAACCTTGCTACGCGCCAAACTATGCGTCTCAGAATATTGGTTCGGTTTGTTTCTCGACCATCAGACGGGAGCATAAGGTCAACGCATCTCTGGAGCCCTTCTTAACGACAGTGCTTATCCCGCGTAATCGACCGCTAGGCCTTGGATCATCTCTCGTAACTTTGAAGCTCCCAGCATCTTTTCCACAAGTAGCCTTTTCAGAAGCTCACGGCATCCTTTGAAGGCGGACTTCTGGTCGTTGCCCCACTGATCCCGTCCCCTCCGCTTGTTCCTCCACGAGGGCTGATACTTGCAATGTGACTCCCGCCGTCCTCTCCTACCATTTTCTCGATGATCTTTGCCTTGCCTTGTGCCCTCTTCACACGGTCATCAAAGTCGTTCACTGACTCGTCTGTGTTTTCTGTGGACAGCGTCTCCGGCTCGACAAGGGCGTAGAGCGTAGTAATATTCTTCTCCAGCCGTGAGTTCTTTGGTAGTGCTGGCAGCCCGCCGATATCTGATCCTTCTTGCACACTACTTCTTGATGGCACTCTCTCTTCATTAGGTTTGTCTGCGCTTAACCGTGGCAACAGACAGGGCGTTCGATTTGCCCAGACAACGGCCTTGCCGTGCAACCTGCCGCTCTCCAAAAACTTCTCGAACCCCTTCTCCAGACCAAACGAGCGACCTTCTATCCTTCCTGCCTGAATGCCATCTTCTGTACCTTGTTTATAACCCTCTTCGTAAAAGCGGTCCTCTAAGTTGAGTAGGTCATCAAACGGATCCTCAGCCATGCCTGCTGTGGAATAGAGGGGTCGAGTCGTTTTGAGTGAAGTGCCGTTCTTGAATGTCCAGTGAGATGGCAATCACTGTTGAAATGTTCAATTAAACAGCCAGGAAGAGGGCGGATTTCGCTAGATATGAGTTGTTTGAGGAAAGCCCAAGATGTCTGGATTATTGTGGTGGTCGTCAAAGATCTACCGAGTATGAAATTTCAATTGCTCTCAGATGAGTCAGTAAAATCGGTCCCCTAAACAGCTCAAACCGGTCTACCATTTTCGCCTTTACCTATCACTTACATCAGATCAATTTGAGGCTTAAAAGCAATGCTCACCAAAACAATGATCAAATGATCTCGTTTCTTTACTCCTCATACTGTTGCTGTATTAAGTAGCAATCAACAGCTTTTAGCATCATTATAAGCGGCTTGCATGGAATTCCAACAGACGACGAAACGCCCCTTACACGTCTGGGTGTAACCTTGTTATAGAACTGACAAGTATATTATGCATCTCTATCAAATCAATAAATCTATTGCTCTAGCTTGCCCGACTCCCTCTCTCTTAATGTAGCATCAGCATGCCTCCATTGGCACACACCACCTGGCCGGTACACCACGCGGCGTCCTCGCTGCACAGCATGCCCACGATGCCGGCGACCTCGCTCGTGTACGCGGGCCGGCCGCCGCTGGTCTTTGCGTCCTCGACGAGCTCGTCGGCGTCGATGCCCTGGCGCGCGCGCATCAGCGGCGTGTGCTCGATCCAGCCCTTGATGCCGGCCTTGAACTCGTCCGTGTTGGCCGCGTACATGGGCCCCAGCACGGGGCCCGGGTTGATGGCATTGACGGTCGCCCGCTCCGACAGCTCGCGTGCCCACGTGCGCGTCATGGCCTCGACGGCCGCCTTGGAGCCGCCGTAGACAGACTGCCCGATGAAGCCGGTGCTGGAGGACACAGATGACAGGTTGATGATGCGCCCGGATCTGTCATTGGGCAGGTAGGGCTGTGCGGCCTGGATCAGCAGCAGGGGTCCGAGGACATTGACTTTGTAGGTCGTCTCGAACTCGGAGACCTGCACCTCGGGGATCTTGTTGTTGAGTGCCACGCCTGCATTGTTGACAATGATGTCGATCTGGAACGCCCCCGAGTCTGAAAAGTGCTGCTTAACAGCCGCAACTAGATCCGCTGGTCCCTGAGGGGTGCCCAGATCGGCCTGTACGCCTAGCGTCTTGATGCCATGTTTGGACTCTAGAGACTTGGACAGATCTGATGTGAGGGAAGCAGATGAGGCTGAGGTATAGTTGAGCACCAAATTGCACCCTTTGGCCGCCAGATTTTCAGCAATTGCAGCGCCAATGCCTGTAGTCGAGAGTCAGCCACCAGGTCGATTTACACTTGAGAGACAACTTACCCCTGGAGGCTCCAGTGACAATGCCCAGCTTCCCTGCCAGTGGTCGAAGGGCTGCCATCTCGCTGATATCTTAAAAAAAAAAAAAAAATTAAGGTTCTTATATGCTGCGTTGATGTCGCGTTGGGTAGGTAGGTGGCATTAGATGTTAATGCTATTTGCGAGCTGGATGATTGTCACGGCACACAACAACAAGAACAGGAGTCTCAAACGGTCGATTACAGAACCAAGAACAAGCTAGATGGGTCCCAACCTCTATATATGCTCCTAAACAACATGAAAATGTCACGAGAGTCATGAATACACCCCGTCTGGTCCCCCCGAGCCAACCCCGATAACCGCTGCGGGCGTGCATTGTCTTGCGTGCCCCGCAGTAGCTCCAGTGTTGCGAAGCTGTAGGGGCAGATGAAGGCGCTGCCCCGCGGTTCTACTGGCAGTTTTTTAGGGGCACATGTCCATTCGCACAGGCGCACCAGTCGGGTGAGAGCACGCCGTATACGCCGAAATCCGTCAATGAGAGAGTGGCAGGGCTGCCCCGCCAAAATCCCAGCGCCTTGGGAAGCAGAAGCTCCATCCTGGTCCCGCCATTGTCGTCTAGAATTTCAACTCAAGTTGGGTAGCACCACCACCACGCCTACAACATCAAGCCACACGCAGTACACGCACCTACGCACACACCACGATCATACTTCCGTCGCTTAATCCTCGGCACTGGAGACGCTAGGCCGGATAATTCCTGATCGGGTTTGACACCTCTCGAGCTTGAACAGGAGATAGATATCACACACACCTCCGCTCCTCCTCACAGCCCGCGCCGTAGCTATGGATATCCGACTCCTACACCCCTCGGACATCCCGCTGATCCAGCATGCCAACCTCGAGAACCTGCCCGAGAACTACTTCCTCAAGTACTACCTATACCATGCGCTATCATGGCCCCAGCTGAGCTACGTCGCCGTTGACGTCTCGCGGCCCAAGAAAACCCCCTATGACTATCCCAAGATCGTCGGCTACGTCCTGGCCAAGATGGAGGAGGAGCCCACCGACGGCGTGCAGCACGGCCACATCACCAGTCTGTCCGTCATGAGGACGCACCGGCGGCTAGGGATCGCCGAGAAGCTGATGCGCCAGAGCCGTGAGTGCCCCTGCCCGAACCTGTACCCGGCGGCTGGGCGGACTATATAGCTAACCCGAATCCTTCATTCGTGAACAGAACAAGCCATGGTCGAGACCTTCGGCGCGCACTACGTGTCGCTGCACGTCCGCGTCTCCAACCAGGCCGCCATCCACCTGTACCGCGACACGCTGGGCTTCAAGACGGAGAAGACGGAACAGAAGTACTACGCCGACGGCGAGGACGCCTTCTGCATGAAGCTCGACCTCAGCTTCATCCGCGAGCAGCTGCAGGAGGAGGCCGAGGAGGAGCGCGCCGCCGTCGACGAGGGCGAGCCCGTCGGCGATGTGGGCAAGGCGGCCGACGACAAGGAGGCCAAGGCGAAGGCAGCTGCGGCGGAGAAGGACAAGAAGAGGAAAGTCAAAGTCGGCAGGGGGCTCGGTGTCGGGGAGCTCGTGGAGAGAGTCGAGAGCAAGCAGTCTTGAGCGACGGTCTGCGATGTGGACGGGAAACCCGGGAATAGGGGCAGGGCCGGTGTGATCTCTCGTCAGAGTAGAGTCGGGAGCCTTGCCGATGATCTATCGGTCTGTTATGATATTCATTGTCGGCGCAGGTCATCAAAAGGAGGTCCAGCTGGGTAAATGCATAGAGGGCAAAACACCATAGCTTGCATAGAAATTCCTTGCGGATTGATCATTATATTTCATTACATTTTGACCGTCGTTACAGCGAGCGAACGGATCTAACCATCCTATCTATCTATGCCCTAGGAAAGCTCACTCTTCACATATTCTGCTGTCGATGGTCTTCCTCTGCAAGCTCCCTTGCGTATGCTTCATCCGCCTCAAGATTAAGTTTCTGGACCGTCTGCTCCAAGGCCTGGATTTCGAGTTCAAAGCCATGGAGTACCCCCTCAGCAGCAATCTGGGCACCCTCGCTCTTCTCTCCTTTGTCAGGGGGCTGGTCTTTCAGCTTCGCCAACTTGGATTTCTTCTGCACCAGCTCCTTCTGCACGTTCTCTGCCGCCTGATACATTGCCTGCGACGCCACATGTGGATCGTTGGCGAGAGCAGCCTCCTCGCCGTCCTCCGGCCACGTCCCCGGGAACCTCTCCTGGCTGCTTCCGGGCGGTCCGGGCGCTGTACCCGCCACAAACCCCCTATCCCAGGACTCTCTACGTTTGCCGAAGCGCTCTTGGAGTTGTTGCCACGGGTTTCGGTTGCCTCCCGTGTCCCCCGTATCTCGCATCGGCGTGTTCGAGGGTTCGCCGAACCCTAGACCAAAGCCTCTACCGAAACCTGATCCAAAACCTTTGCCAGCAAACCCTGGTCCGACCCCCTTGCCAAAGCCTTGTTCAAATCCTCTGGCAAATCCTGGGCCATGTCCTCCGCCGAAGCCCGAGGCAGCCTGTCCGGGTCCGAACCATGGATGCATATGCGGTCCGGCACCAGGAACGCCCGGGATGCCCTCAAAGGGACCGTGGCCGCGCCTTGGGCCGTGGCTGTGATGGCGGCCGTGTCTGACCTCTCTCTTTGCCTTTCTCAGCTCCCTCTTGATTTGTCTTCTCTCACGCTTCTCAGCTCGTCTCTGCTGTTTTTTCTCCCGCTTCAGCTGCCTCCGCATTTGGCCCTGCTGCCTCTTCAGACTCTTCCACTGTTGCATCAGAGCCTTGACCTCCTGCCGCAGTACTTTCTTGTCAAACGCCATGTTCACAGCCTCGTTGAAGCCACCGCTGTTCTCCCTCTTAGCCGCCTTGATCTGGTCTTTGACCTGCCGTACATTCTCCTTGGTGATCATGTTATCGGGATGTGACAATAACTCCTTGAGACAGTGCTTGGTGGTAGGTAGCTGCTGGTCCTTCAGGTCATCCCAGTCGGGCAGCGATCCCACAGACGATGCGTCCGAGCCAGAGGAAGACGACGAAGAGCTACTGGACGATGAGCTCGAGCGTGATCTCATCCTACGGCCACCGCCGCGGTGATGGGACCCCCGTCGCAGACCGCGACCTCGCTCGTGGCGGCATTCGTGGCGGTCCGGACCCCGAGTCCCCTTGCAGCGACCGGTAGGGCTGTGACGATGCGGCTCATCAATGCCGCAGTCTGCGGGAGGCATACCAGGGGTAGCGTACGCCCCAGCGCCTGGGCCAAAGCCAGGCACCGAGGAGAGCCCCGGGATCTGGGGAAAGCTGGAACCTCGAAGGCCACGCTGGCCTGTTTGATTTCCACTAGGGAACATTGTAGACGAGCCGCTTCGGATGCCATTGTTGTCGAAAACTAAGCCTCCAATACGCAGGCCATTCCTGTCCGCAACGACGTTGTTGCCAATGGCAAGCTTGTCGCCATCGAGGGTGATGCCGGCAAAGGTGAAGCTCCTAGAATTGTGATCGTAGCTACCACCAAGGGGGTTGAATCTCCTCCAGCGGGAGCCAGTCTGTTGCGGCTGCCCAGCTGCTTCCGGGCCGCCGTTATCAAACGACTGGTCCCAGGCCCCAGGCACTCGCAGGTCGTCGGTGGAAAGCTCGATGTGGATATTAATACCCCGCGGGCCGAAGAAACCGTCGTTCCATTCACGAACAGTCTCCTCGGCGTTCTGCCGCCGCTGGGCTGTCTCTGTCGGAGTGCGGATCTGGTCCAGCTGAGCAACGACGGGGCTCCTATCGCCCGCGTTGCCGCTCTTCGCAGACAACATGTCGTCGTTGACACCCTCCGCTCGCAGCTTGCGGTCGACGATGTTCTCGTTGGCCTCGGCCGAGTAGTGTGGGATGAGGTAGTTGACGAATGTCTGCCAGTCTTCGACCCGGACGTCTCGCTGGGACCAGTCCCGAATGTATGGGAAATCCTCTGGGTTGCTGTCTGCCTTGACCGAGATGGAATGTACGATCAGCTCGCCCTGAGCAAAGGTAGGAAGTCGGGGTGGCGGCCGAGAGTCAAAATATGCCTCGGCGGAGGTGGTGGTTAGGTGGTCAGCCTCGCTGACGAAGTTCTGTTGGTGCGAGCTATGAGGAGTCAACGGCGGAGTATAGATGATCTCTCCGTTGGATGCTGCGCTGGAGGCATCATCGGTGCCGTGTGAGTTTGAGCGGTGACTGGGTGTATGCGGGGATCGATGAGATCCGGCATTGGAGTATATGTCAGTCTCCGTGTATGGAGGAGGAGGGATATCGTCTAAATGCTGCGAGGTCATGACGAGTATCGCGACAACTGGTCGCTAGCGTTGATGTCTCGACACGCAATGGTAGACGTGGAAATATTAGAATGGGATAACAAGCTCGGAGTTATTCACGGATTTGAAGGATCAGATAAGAACAAAGGGAAGCACTCATGTGAAGAGGAGAGGAGGGGATGACAAGAGTGTGAGAGCACGATGATGGTGGGGTGATTAGCATTTAAGGATGCACCCGATGTCAGCTACCAAACCACTGTAAAGTACCGTCTGTGTGTAGCTGCTTGTGTTATCAAAGCTCCGGGCACTACCGGTGCTTAAGGATCCCCAGCCTTGCCGACTTCTTCTGCTTAGCAACCCCCCTCCATTATAAATTACAGCTTGAGGAGTCAAGATAAAAGGCGGCCTCAAGATACGGCAGGATCATTGGGCGTGTGGTGTCATTATGCCTAAGTGTTCAACGTGTCGAATGAAGCTTAAAGTAGCACCCTTGTGAGCCCCAGCGCTAGCGACCTGGTAACCCTGGGCCCGCACGCTATAGTGAGCAAGGACCCTGTAGCTTTGGGCGGTAGCCTTGGCGTGCTGGGCCCTACTGCCTCCAATGGTTCTGCACCGTCTCTCAGTGACTCCAACGCCAGGTCTGCAAGCTGACGCGGCCCCGCAAGGCAGCTGCTCGGATCCGAGAGCTGCCACTCACAAGACCACTTCGGACACCTTCTACGAGCAGCTTCTTGTCGGTATCTTAGCCAATGAGAAGCTGGAGCGTCCAGAGCTGTCGTGTTCACTCCTGCAGGCTGTTGACGGCTTGCATCATTCCCCCTAAGGGCGCTGGGGTGCCGCCGCCTCATTGCGTGATGAAGTCTATGTCTTCTTTCTTATAGTGATCGGTGATGACGCTCTGCAGATGATCTCTCGAGTGCGGTCCCCTGTTGTTCTGGTCAGCCTTATCCTCGGTTATTACCACAAAATGCAGAGTCTCAAACTAACAGGTTCGTGATGTAGACGTCTACCAGCTCCGGAGGGACGAACTCGCTGATGGCGCTCTCCACCTCAACCCCATTGACCATGGCTCCATCTGCAAAACTGACAAATGCCGATGGATCGCCAAGCTCTACCAGGCCATCCAGGTCAAACGGCTCCTCGGGGCATACTTTATAGACACCTCCCAGGACAACCACAGACTTGCCAAGCTCTTGAGCCGCACGGGCAATAAGCGCGGCGCCTCCCTCGCCTACCACTCCTCCATTCGCAACAATAGCCCTTGCGCCAAGGATGACCTTGTTTACTTTGGGCATATATGCCATGATGCCACTGCTCATAATGTTGATAGTCTTGACGCCAGCCGCTGCAAGCTTCTTGCGCAGAGCGGCATGAGGCGCCTCCGCCTTTGAGACCACGCCACTGGCGATCAGTACTGTAAATTGCCGCTTGGATGCCGCCCGGATGAGAAACCTCTCCACTGTTGGGGAAGGCTGGTGCACCAACACGTAGTCACTGGGGTGTATTTGTATCTCAGCGAACTGGGCAATCTGATCGTCCACCTGGCTGATTTCGTCCTTGATCTCTTCAATGCCGTCAATGACCTCCGAACGCAAGGCGTGGACACTCGTAGCCTGCGCCGTGTTCAGCGGTGTTGAAGCCCCCGACCCTCTGCCAAATGGTGATCCAGTCGCACTCGAGTCCGCCAGCGGATCTGCTGATAACAGGTTGAACATGGACTGAGGCACGATAAAGGAGTTACTCGTCGATAGTGTCGGCTGTCGAATGAGCCGCGGCGGCGTGGGTACGTTCTGGTCACTCGGTGGTAGCGCCGAAAGGTCTGACACAGACTCGCTGCCAAACTCGTTGCCCTCTCCGTTTCGGTCCTCCTCGGCCTCGTCTCGGATCAGACCCAGCACTCTGCGTACAATGTTGCCAATCACTAGTTCCTGCGGCCGTGCTTCCACCAACTTGCGTCCGACACGCTGTACGCGCTCTATCAGCTGGTCGACATCAGCCCATTTTCCTTTCGCGACGACTTGTAGGAGGATATGAGCCGTTGCAACCGCGCACTGCTCAGAGCCGGCAATCTGTCTTCGCTTGAGCAGCCTGTAGAATCATATTAGGAGTAGTATCGATAGTATATGACAGGAGCACATACGATACTAGGCTCTCTATGGAAGCATCCAAGGATTGTCCCTTAAGG